TTTCTTTCTTTCTTTCTTTCTTTCTTTCTTTCTTTCTTTCTTTCTTTCTTTCTTTCTTTCTTTCTTTCTTTCTTTTTCTTTCTTCCTTCCTTCCTTCCCTCGTCCCTCTCTCTATGTCTTTCTTCCTTCCTTCCTTCCTTTCTCTCTCTCTCCCTTCCTTCTTTCCTTTCTTTCTCTCTCTCCCTTCTTTCCTCTCTTTCTTTTTTCTCTCTTCCTTCCTGCTTTCTTTTCTTTCTTTCTTTTTCTTCCTTCCTTTTTTTTTTTGGTCTTTATATCCCTTGTGCCTTACACTTTGTAGGTGCAAGTAAAGGTTTGCTGAATTGAATTGAATTATAAAACATCTTCGTTCTGAGAAGACTCCTTCATCAAAGGATGGCTGTGCTTTAAGGAGCTGCAGGGAGGGCTGTTTGCAGGATTTAAAGCAATGAAAAAATTCATGGACATTCTGCTCATTTCCATGTTTTATAAAAGAACTAAGGTCATGTTTCTTTTTTTCATTTCAGAGTTTTCAGTGAATGTCAAAGAATCACATTACTCTGTGGCCAACCTCGTGCCTAATACCCAATATGAATTTTGGGTCACAGCTTCGAATAGCACTGGCGTCAGCCCACTAAGCGAGCGAGCGGTGTATGTGACAGGTAATGTGTTCCACCGATGTCTGGAGAGCCAGGCCTCAGTACGTTTATTTAGAGAGACACAGATCTTGGCCAATGCAGTTTTATGTGCCATTCAGATGGATGGATTGTGTTTTTGAGATGAATGTTAGCATTTTCCTTTTGGACTTAACAGGTGTAATTACTATTATGATTGCCATGCTAAGAAATAAATTTTTTTAAAAATTAAGGCAGGACACAGTAGTGTGTTTGGAGGGTGGGGGTGGGGGTGAGGGAATGGCAGTGTAGAGATGTGTGATATACATTGGTCCCCAAACAGCAAGGATCTTAGAGTGGTTTGAAAATGAAAGAAAATCAGGAATGAGAATGGGAAAATCTCAGAGTGTCAGAAGAGGTTCATATAGCAGTAAAGAGGAGTGAGGATGGGATGAGAAAGGGCCTGCTGTGCCCAGAGGGTCTCACTTTTCATAGTGTATCAAACCCTCGTCCCAGTCTCATACCCGAGTAGCTATGATATAGTAGAAGGCCTTCTTATTCATGTCTAAATTGGATTCTGGCCTTTAGTTTGTTCATGTTGGATTAGAATTATAGATTTAGAAACAGAAGAAAGCTAAGGGTCATTGAATTTAAACCCTTCATTGTAAAGATGAGGAAAGTGACCTGCCCAAAGTGACCCATGCAGTAAGGGGCAGAGCCAGGAGTTTGCATCCAGCTCCTCTGATTCCAAACCATTGCTCTTTTTATAGTATCACTCTGCCTTCATGTAAAATGAGTGATTCAATAACTCACTTTTCAATCCAGCAATCATTTATTAAGTACCTACTCTGCTGAGGCAATCAATCAAAAAGGCTTTATTAAGAACCTACTGTGTGTTAGGCACTGGGGATAGGAGTACAAAGAACAAAAAAAAATCCCTACATGAAATAGTTCCAGTCTTAATGGAATTTACAGTCTTTTTTTTTTTTGGTGTGGAAACAAGACATGCAAAATACAGAATATTCATTTGACTCCCGGAGGTCACTAGCAACTGGGGTGATCTGGATGGTAGCACTTGAGGGAATTGGACTAGAAAGTCTCTGAGGTCCCTTCCAGTATGGAGGTTCTGTTCTAGGTCCCTTCCTTCCTCTTCCTTGCACTACTTACTTCATGAGGTTGTGGGAATGGCTTTAAAGATTCTGTGCCTCATAACCCTTTAAAGCACATTAGATAAATCAGGAAGTCATTGTTCTTGTCAGCATTACTCCGCACCTCTCCAGGGCACATATTCTCAGGAGAAACCCCACCAGACAACCTGTGTTCTCTTGTTTTCATTTATTGGCTATGAATTGAATTATGCTCCTGAGGTCTGGAGCATGCGGTAACTGCCACCAACACAGATGTCACCATGACCCACGCAGGCATGCTTCATAACACTATGAGGCAGCAAGTCAATAACGCAATTATTCTTTTACACTTTAACAACATAATTTCCCCCATTCAGAATAAATACAGGGGATTCTTAAAGTCTTAAGGCAGTTTTGAAGTTATTAAGACTTAGGACTTTGGGAACACCCTGCATACACTTTGATTACAAGACTATGGTGCCAAGGCTCATCTTTTTTTTTTCTTTCTGCTTTTTTTTTGTTTTGTTTTTGTTTTTGCTTTTTTTTTGGTGAGGCATTTGGGGTTAAGTGACTTGCCCAGAGTCACACAGCTAGTGAGTGTTATGTGTCTAAATCTGGATTTGAACTCAGGTCCTCCTGACTCCAGGGCCAGTGCTCTATCCACTGCACCACCTAGCTGCCCCTCAAGGCACATCTTTTGCTTCCCTATAGTTTAGTTCAGACTAGGGGACCAGTTAAGACTCCTGGGTTCTAATGTCACTTCTGCCGATAACTAATTGTATAATCTTGGGCAAGTCAAAGAACACTGGATTTGGACTGACAGGACCTGATTTTGAATCCCAGTGCTACCCCTGCCACCTCTGTGACCCTGGGCAATTCACTTGACCTCTCCAGGCTTTATTATCCTCATCTGTAAAATGGTAGTTGGACTAGATGACCTCAAAGGGCCCCTCTAAATTTATGATCCTATGCCCTCACTTTTTGGGGATTCAATTTCCCTATCTATAAAATGAGGAGGTTGAACAAGATGGTCTCCAAGGTTGCCTTCCATCATCTCTCCACCCCTCTCCACAGAAGACATTGCTTCATACTCTGCTGAGAGAATAGGGGCTAGACATCATGAGCTCCCCTTTAACCTGGTTTTATACTTCAGACCCACTCAGGACTATCTCCACTCCCCCCTCCTATGCTCCAGCCTCAGAGGAAGAGCTAAACTTTCTTGGTAATATCAACTGATCTACTTGTGCCCTTGATCCTTTTCCCTCCTTCTCCTCCACAAGTTTATCCCTTTCATCATGTCTAACCATCTTTATCCACTGACTCCCTCCCTACTCCCTCCATTCAACCAATCTCTCCCATCCTTCAAAACCTCCCTTTGATCTTGCCATTCTTTTAAACTGCTGTCCTTATGTGACTCCTCCCTTTCAGAGCCTTATTGCTAAAATAAGTCATTTAATCTGGTGCCTCACTTCTTAACTCCTTGCATTCTACTACTTTCTAACTCCACAACGGCTCTCATCAAGGATACCAGTAATCTCTTATTTGTGAAGAAATGGCTTTTTCTCAGTCTTCATCTTGCAATCAGTCAATGTCTTAAGTGCTTCCTATGTTCCAGGCACTATGTTAGACACCAGAGATAGAAATACAAAGTGAGACAATTGACCTTCTTGTCCTCCCTTACACCATTTGATTCTGGATTTCCAAGATATTGTTCTTTCCTGGTCCTCCTCCTACGTGTCTGACAGATTCTTCTCATTCTTCTTTGCTGGACCATCATCTGTGTCCAACCTCCTGTACATGTCCGTATTCCAGGCGTTATCCAGAACCTGCTTGTCTTCCTCTGATGCCCCTCTTTGATGCTCTTATCAGCTTCTGTGAATTCAATGATCATTTCTATGGAGATGACTCCCCAATCTACATGTCAAGCCTTCATGTCTTTCCTGACCTCAGAACTTACATCACCAGCTGCCTAAGAGACACTGACACATGTATATCCCATAGGCATCTGAAACTTGGCATGTCCAAAAAAGAACTTAATATTTTTCCCCCTTAAATGACTCTTTCCTCTAACGTCCCAATTTCTACTGAGGGCGCCAGCATAATTACAGTCATTCAGGTTTGCAACCTTAAAGACATATTTGACTCTTCATACTCTCTCACTCCATTCCACTCCCTCCCCGCCCCCATCCAATGATAACTGCCAGGTCTTATGGCTCCTGGGGCAGCTAGGTGGTGCAGTGGCTACTCATCTTCCTGAGTTCAAATCTGGCCTCAAACACTTACTAGCTGTGTGACTCTGGGCAAGTCACTTCACCCTGTTTGCTTCAGTTTCCTCATCTGTAAAATGAGCTGGAGAAGGACATGGAAGCATCTTTGTCAAGAAAACCCCAAATGAGGTCACAAGGAGTCAGACACAACTGAAACGAGTGGAAACAACAATATGGTTCCTACATCCTCAATGTCTGTAGAATCTACTCCCTTCTCTCCATTGAAGACGCCAGCCTTGCTCAGGCCTTCATTACCTCTTGCTTAGTCTACTGCCATAGATTCCTAATTGGTCTTCTTATGTAGTGTCTCCCCCTCTTCAGTCCATCTTCCACAAAACTGATATTCCTGAAAGGACAAGTCTGGCCATTCATGCCCATGGTCAAGAAGGTTCAGTTGCCTGTAATACAAAATACTAGATCCTCTGTCAATCACCTAAAAGGCTTCATAATCTTACTCCAATCTATCTCCTCAAAAGTATTTCTGTCCCTCATACATTCATGGACTCCAGCAAAACTGACCTACTTGCCGATCCCATTGTACAACATTCTATCTCCTGCCTCTGTGACAGACTGTTCCCCGTGCCTGGAATTCGGTCCTTCATTACCTCCATCTCCTGGAATCCCTAATTCCATTTAGGACTCAGCTCTGGTGCCACATCTTTTTCTGATGCCCCTCACCACATACACACACACACACACCACCTGAAATTACTTTGTATTTACTTAATCTATATTGAATTCCAGCCCTGGCATTTGATGTCTCTTAAATAAACAAAACCAAAACAATTTGCCTGATACTCCCTCCTTTGTTTCAATATTTGTTCTTTGGTCATGGAAAGGTGAGAAGCCTTTCTAGCTCCTTTCCCATCTTCTCTCCAGCAGTTTGCAGCTTAAAGTCCGTACAATATTGACTCTGAAAAGCATGGGACTTAGAGGCAAGAGATCTGGTTTCAGATTATAACCCTGGTGCTTATTAGCTCTGTGACCATGGGCAAGTCACTTAACTTCTCTGTTCCTCAGTTTTCTCATCTCTAAGAGATGATATTTGTGTTACCTACATGGGGGTATTGTGAGGCAAGCACTCTATAAGTCTTATGGCATACTAGTGGTATGAACTCTTTTTGTTATTAGATCATTTGATTGAAATATGGAAGGGACTCTGACCTAACAATCCCCATTGTACAGATGAGGGGACTGAATCCTAGAGAGGGAAAGGGATTTGCCCAAAGTCACACAGTAAAGAGTGAAGTCTGACTCCGAATCTGCCACTCATTATTTCACATAGATTCTCAAAGAATTTTCCTTGTATTCTTTTAATTGCAAAATACTTTGGGGAAAGGAGTGGGTTAGGGATGATTGCTCATGCTTACTTGCAGCTAAATATGAGATCAGAAGCAAATGAATCATAAGATTATCGATTTAGAGATAAAACCAACCCCTTAGAGATGAAAGAAGGGGTATAGAAAAACAAAGTGTGACTTTGCTTGCCAATGTTCTCACGGCTAGTTAAATGTCTGGGGTGGGAATTCTACCCTGATCATCCTGACTCCAAGTTCAATGCCCTGTCCACTGTATACCACATTGCCTCTCAAATGGTTTCCCGTCTGCTTTCTTTTCCCCTGCATCTTAGCTCCTTCACCTCCCATTATCAAAAGCAAAGAGATCCTAAGCTGTGAACATGCTGCCTTGGTGCGCTGGGAATCTGGAAACATGAATCCTGTGGACTCATACACTATTGAACTGTCTAAAGTAGACGATGAAGAACCGAGGAATGTTGTTACAGAGTGAGTCAATACAGGTCAATGCTATAGCTTGAGAATGCTCGATAATCACTTTTATATCATGCTCCCCAGGACAATGCTCCCCAGTCACATAGCATGTGAAATAGAGGTTGCCTGAAGAAAGAAAATTGGATTTTGAGGCAAGCAATATCTTTAATTTGGCCTTGCTTAGTTGTAGCAAAAAATGAAAGTTTAAACCCCTTCCAGGATGCAAAGATTCAGGGGAAATCAAAGGCTTTTTTCCCTATATATTCATCTTAAATATAAACCATATGTACACACTCATCTTTTTAAAAGATTCTAATCTTTCCAAATAATTTAGAATTTTACTTATTTACATTGGAAGATGGAGCAATGATGTCATTGGGGAAATGTGATGGAGGGTTAGTAATGGGGTAGATAAGAATTATGTGAAGCAAGTGATATTTTTCTTCATCTTTGCTGTCTATCTGTGAACATAGTTCAATTCCAGGGAAAGTACAGGTATACAGGCATGTAGGCCCAGATCAGAATAGACTTGGATTATCCCCATCCAAAAATTTCTAACCCACATGACTGGTTCAAACTCTTTCTAGAGCAGACCTCTGTGCTAATATTTTATTTTATTCTTGCTATTTGCAGAGTACAGGATTACTTACTTAGCCCTAAAGATTCAGCTAAAAATTAATTACAATAATCTTGTTAAAGTAACAGGATAGAAAATAAATCTATAATAATCATTTGAATTTACTACAAAATTCATCAGGAGATAGAAAATATATACCCAAATTAACTATAAAATGTATAAAATATCTAGAAGCCTACCTACTAATGTACCATCAAGTCTTGTCTGAATACAACTTCCAGATACTTTAAATAGAAAAAAAAAGACAAATAAAAGTATCGGTTGTTCATAATTGGGTCATACCAATATAATAGAAAATGACAGTACTTCCTAAATTGATTTATATATTTAGTCTCATGACAATCAAACTTTCAAAGAGTTATTTGTAGAACTAAACAAAATAATAACAAAATTGGGGAAATCATGAAAAAAGTAAGAATGAAAGGAATCTAACATGAAGTAAAGAAGGATGAAATGAGCAGAACCGAGAGAATGTTGTACACAGTAACAGCAATATTGTTCAAAGAATAACTATGAATGAATAAGTTATTCTGAGTATTACAAATACTCAAATCAACTAAAAAGGACCTATGAAGGATGATGCTATCCGCTTCTGGAGAAAGAACTGATAAATAGAATATATGTGTCAAACGGTGGCCTTCTCTAGCATAAGGTGGAGAAGAAAGGAGGGAGACAGTTCAGAACTTCAAATGTAACAAAAAAAATTTAAGAAAGAGAATGGAATCTAGCAGTACCAGATTTTAAATTCTGTTACAAAACTATAATCATTGAGATTATTTGATACAAGTTTTAAAAAAAAGAAAAATTGATCAATAAGTAAAACTGATTTTTTAAAAATTTGATCAAATTAGGCAAACAAACTCCAGAATTAATTGAACAAAGAATGGACCCTGAGGAGGTCCTAGAGTGGACTCCACAGAGAACGCTTAGAATTCAGGTTGGGCTTCAGGTTCCCTGAACACAGAACCCAGTCAGTGATAACTGGGGAACATTGACCCGAGGAAGACCTGGGGCTGCATCTGTTCTTCAAAGGGTTGTCTGATCTAGAGCTTCAGTCTTAGGTATGACCTCGAAATCAAATGAGTTCCATTGGGTGAGGAAATGGCTGTTCAAGTTAGTCAGTTGATAAGCATTTATTAAGTGTCTGCTGGGTACCAAGCACTGTGCTAAGCACTAAGTCAGTAAATTAACTTTCCTTTTGGACTAACAGCAGTTGAAACAAACAGAAATCTCAGAAATCCAGAAAACTGGGTGGTATAACACTTGATTCCTTCTGAACCAATTCAAATCGAGGGGTTTAATTCTCATTGTCAATCAATAATATTAAATGACTATATAATGTTTTAAAATTTACAACATGCTTTACATCCATTATCTCATTTAATAACCATGATGATGATAAGTATTGACATAGTTCCTTTGTCAATGCTAGCAAAGTGCTCTACACATGTCATCTCATTTAACAACTCTCCGAGTGAGGTAGGTACTACCCACAGGTGTTATCCCCATTTTAGAGATGAGGAGAATGAATCTTAGAGAAGTTAAATGACTTGCCCACAAGTCTATTATGTCTTACTGCCTGGCCATCAATAGTAGCAAATAATGTTATGTGCCCAATGTTACGTGAAATGTTTATCAAGTACTTTACTACTATCACGTATCATTATGTTTTGTTTCATCACTTTAATTTCTTTTTAGATCTATAGTAGGAATTCCTACCTGTGAATCTCTAATTCATCTGCAACCTGGAGAAAGCTACCTAGTCTATGTGAGAGCCATCAATGTGGGGGGCCCTAGTGAAAGAAGTGAGCCTGCTACTATCCGCACTACAGGTATTGTTTAAATTCACATTTTGCTATTGGGAGTAGAGCTTTTGGATGTTATGGTTAGAAGCAAGCAGCGATGATCTATCTATTCCTAACATCTTTAAGAGCTGAGATGAAGGGGTCTTTGATTCTGTTCTCAGCTGTCCCTCTCACTGTTTTTGTCCAGTAATGTTCTTGGACTATTCACCTACATAGTGGGTTAGTCATAGGAGAATGGTTTCAGGAAGTTGTCCCCTTCCCCTCCCTCTATTGCTAACCTCAGAAGGAACATGGCATAGTAGAAAGACCTGGGAATCAGACCTAAATGCCAGTCCCAGCTGTACCACTAACTAGTGATCATAGATGCGTGTATGGGGTGTGCTGGGCATGCTCTGGCAAACTCGAATGTGCCCGTGGCTCTCTTGCCACAGTGAAGTTGTCCGGGATCTGGATCCAACAGAGGTGGGGGCAGCTTCCTTGATATCTGCGGCCCCCAGTTGCTACAGCCGCCATTGCCACTGTTCTTGCTCCCATTCACTTCCCCTCCACTGCTTCTGTCAGGCTCTGGTTTGTGAGGAGTAAAGTGTATCTAGTGATTAGTGGCTCTGGAGCTCAGGTCAACACTCATGACAGTCTTCCAGATTTTTTCATGCTGCCTCACCTGCTCCGCTGGTACTTTTTGGCAAAGCTTGATTCTTATTTCCCCAACTTCTCTGTGCCCCCAAGAAACTTGTGCCCAGGAATCCCAACTGGGGCAGAAAACAAATTAATTAGTCCTTTATTTCCGCTTTATTCCTCTAGTCACCTTGTTTTCCGTGGCCTTGGGGCTCTGGTCCATATGGGAAAGAAAGGCAAAAATAAAATTTTAAACTTTAAAAGGATTCACCAGTCCTTGAGCTCAAATCCTGGCTCTTCTCAGCAAAGCAAGGAGCTGAGTCCCATTGGAAAGATGCCTTTAGAAGACAACACTAAAAAAGGTTGTTCTAGATTTAAGAGTAAGGACAAGGGTATGATTTAAAACTGACCCTGTGAAAAGTTCATATTTTAAAAGTAAAACTTGGTGGTTAATTAAAAATTTTTTAGTTGTGCTAGTTTCTTTAATTTGATGAATAAAAGTGATATGTTTTATGATGAACAGTTAGGATTCATCTTTAAAAAACAAAATTCCCTAAGTGCACTCCTTAATGAAATGTGCTAAACATGTTTATAAATGCAAGCTAGGGCAACTTACTTTTCTAAGCCTTAGTTTCCTCATTTGTCAACGAGGGGTTTCACAAGATGATCTCTCAAGTTCCTTCCAATTCTAATATTCTATGACTTTATGATTGTAAATTTACAATTATAATTTCCATACTAAAATAGACAAATCAGTGGGATCCTCACTGTTGAGTTGTTCTTTCAGATAAATTGGACAGATTAGAGTTTCATCATGCTCTTCCTGCATTGTTCAGATAACTATTTAGCCCATATATAAGAAATTGAACATTCCTATGGAACCTGTCGTATTTTTTTGAAGCATTTCCTAGAGAAGTGACCACTCGCTTTAGCAGAGAAAACAAGCAATCTATCCCAATGGCTTCTGGAGATATGAATTAACTTTTAGGAAGAGAACACTTGCATAACATTCATTCATTCAACAAATATTTATTGAGTAACATCATGTGCAAGATGATGATAAATGCTGAAGATACAAAGGTCGATACAGCACATTCACTAGCAACACAGATTCTTAGCTCAGTAAGAACAGAAATGGGCTCTATGTGATCTTGTATCTATCTCCCTATTCCCTCAAGACCTTGCATTTAATTGGCCAATATAACAAAGTCGACAGAGTGCTGCCCTTAGAGTTAAGAAATCCTGGGTTTGAATCTCACCTCTGATACTTACTGGTTGTATATTTCCAGACAAATCATTGAATGGCTCAAAGCCTCAGTTTCATCAGCAGTAAAATGGGGATAATAACAGCATTAGGTAACAACTCACAGAGTTGTGATGATCAAATGTATGTAAACTGTCTTGAAAACTTTAAGCTTTAAAGAAAACTTTAACTTCAGGTTAAAAAAAAAAACAAACCCAATCCTTTAAGTGTCTACTATGTGCCAAGCATGGCGGTGAGTGAATACATAAATATACCTGTTGAAGGAGTGGGTTATATCAACAACAGATGCCTATCAGCTTAAAAGGTTCAGTTTCTCAACAACAAAAAAATTACTGGCAATAAAAAGCCAAGAGAAAAATAAAAAGTTTCCTGGAAGTACATTTACTACTGACCAAAGCTGTCCAAAAACAACATGTGAAAAACTGTTTCTGATTTTATCTACATAATACTCCTATAAAGTAGTTAAGGAAAAGCCGTTATCTTTATTCTGCATTTGAGAAAATGAATGCCAAGGAGATGAAATTGTATCTCACATCATGACAAGTCAAGAAGGGAGTGGAGGGTTGGATATGTCTCCACTCCAGACCTGCGTCCTAATTGAGATATTGTAGCATATTAAACATAAAAAAATTATATTAAGTCATGAGTGAAGAGTCAACCAAAAAAACAAAACAAAAAAAAAACCCCAAAGCTCTGGATTAAAAGTTTTCTGGAAGAGACCAGAAAGAATGCAGGATCATGTGGGAAGGGGAGTCAACCACAGCTGTCATTTAACAGATAAAGACAGAGGTTCAAAGAGAGTAAGTGACTTGCGCAAATCACCTGGGTTGTAAGTAGGAGGGCCAGGATTCAACCTCAGGTGCCCTGACTCAAATCTTGCCTCTTTTCACCTCATCAAAGAGCAAATGATCCAACCCTTCTGTTTTTTTATTCAGAAGACTTGGCTTCTGTGGGCAAATGGCGGAACTTCTTTTAAACCTGGTTCTTTTATCTGCATAATGAAGATTAATAATACTTGTACTTCTGACCTCAAAGAGTTGCTGTGGGGGGCAGCTAGGTGGCGAAGTGGATAGAGCACCGGCCCTGAAGTCAGGAGGACCTGAGTTCAAATGCTGCCTCAGACCAAACACTTGACACTTACTAGCTGTGTGACCCTGGGCAAGTCACTTAACCCCAATTGCCTAAAAATTAAAAAATAAAATAAAAAAAAGAGTCCTTTCTGAAAGAGTTGCTGTGACAATTGTATAAGATAATAGATGTGAAAGTGGCTTGAAAGCATTGTATGATATAGAAGAAATATATACAATGACTACAATGGATAAATGAAGATAATACAAAAAGACAGAATTTTAGTCAAGTATGGTAGTCAATGATGGTTCCTGGTAATTGAAATATACTCCCTTCCTTTTTATTAAGAAACGGCCAACCAGGAGTGGAAAGTTAAATGAGCTGACAATTGCAATCACTATACACTTGGATGGTTTTGCTTAGCTGTTTCTTTTTTTTAAGTGCAGGTCTTACATCAGGCTTGTTTATTGAGAAATGACAGTAGGTCCAAATAAAAATGTCAATAAAAAGAAAACATTAAATATTATATATAAATTTTCATATATCTGTTTTCATATCAAAGTTAGAGACCCTTAGTCTTTACTGCTTATGCAGAGAGGGAAAAATCAATCATGAGTCACACAAAAGTAAAAAGCAATTTGATTAAAGATGATTTTTTGAGAAGGAAATATAGAATGTTCAACTCATTTGGTTTCAAAATTAGGAACAAAGAATATAAAATTGTATTCAATGAATATAATGAAAATACTTCAGTTCTGTATTGTATCTAGTTAAGGGAGAGAGGCAGAGTTTAGACAAGGAGAGGGAGTTAAGGGACAAGAAGGAAAAGGAAAAGACAAAAGGGAAAATGAAACTGAGATGGAGGGTGGAGGGAGAAAGAGGAACATTAGAGAATAGCAAAGATTGGAGAAAGAAACATGGGCACCAAAGTGAAAAAGGAGGAGGAGAGACAGAATGGGAGAAGAACTATGGAGGAGAGTAATGGAGACAGATTCAGAGAGAATGAAACAGATTCAGTAGTTCTGAGATGAGGATGTAAGTCATATTAGGGTTTTTATCACACCCTATGGTTCACTTGGACTGTGAACATCAGATTATGTTCTTGCTTAAACTGATTCCTGCCAAGTGTAGATGAACTTTTCAAGAGTCAGTTCCTTAACCACAACTATTTACTGATTCTTGGCTCTTAATTAGTCCTTACTCAAAAGAGACTGGCCATGGAATTATAATTCCTTCTTGTTGTAGCTCTGGGTTGCTAGAGCAATGTGTGTGTGTGTGTGTGTGTGTGTGTGTGTGCGTGTACACATACATTATATAATGTATATACATATAATGTGTATATATAACATCCTAAATATACACATATAGATACACATACATATCATATATATCTACATCCTATATATACTATACATATATATACATGTACTATCTGAGCAGATTCATTCTAGAGAAAAGTATCCTACATATATAATATACACACATATATATACATATACATAGCCTATGTTCATATATATATATATATATATATATATATATATATATATATATATATCTATCTCCAAATACATACATCCTAGATCTAGGTGGGGAACCCATGGCCTCTGAATAAAGGGCTGTACTTGAGGACGTAGAAGGCCACATGTGGCCTCGAGGCCACAAGTGCCCCACCCTTGTGACCCTAGACCTAGACCCGTGTATATTCTATTCACAGACATATATATGTATATAGGATACTCTGCTGCAGAATGAATCTGCTCAGACAGCCGCCATCTTCCTTCCCACATTCTCTTCCTGTGACCTTAGCCATTATTTGTCTATCCTGTTCTCAAGTTTTAGAAGGCAGGCTTTGGAGATGGGCTCCCTGTACCTTCTGCTATCCCCTTTCCTCACCCTCCCCTATAAAACAATCCATTACTATCTGTACCTTTGACATCTGATTGCTTTACACTTTTATTTTTTAAGTGTTAAATGAAACAGACTTTTCTATTATTCAAGTCATTTCAACACGTATTTATTGGGCACCTGCTTCGTCCAGGGATGTGCAGGTGCTTCAGGGGATGTGAAGGATGAGACAGAGTCTACTGCCCTTACAGATGGGACTCTAGAAGGGAAGATAAGTACACAAATGAAATGTGATGAGTGAAAACAGCAATGAGTTTGGTTCCAATTCCAGCACTGTCACTTATTCTCTCTGTGACTTAGGACAAGTCACTTGTCCTCTCTGGGCTTCATCTGTAAAAAAAAAAAAAAAAAAAAAAGTAGAGTCTGCACAGATGCCCTCAAAGGTCCCTTCCAGCTCTTGCTGAAGTTGTTCAAGTGGACAGAGCTCTGGACTAGAAGTTAGGAGGCCTGGGTTCTACCCATGATTCTGCCACTAATTTGATGTGCAGCTTGAAACAAGTCACTTGATTATGCTGTGCTTATCTGTAAAATGGAGTCTGGCAGCTGTAGAGGGAAGAATGGATTGAACATTCTTCAAGGTCTCTTCTAGTGCTGACATTTTATGAGTTTGTGATTCCAGACTCATTATAGTGAATATATAATTAAATTTAGAACCTCTCAGGGCTGCCTGTGAAAAAACATGCAATACATGATGATAGCTGTTCTGGAAATGGAGTCAGAGGATGGCGGCAGGGTTGAATCTCAGCTCATCTACTTTCTCTCTATGTGACATTGGACAAGTGGCTTCCTCTCTCTAGGCCTTAGATTCATCATCTGTAAAATGAAAGGATTGAGCTACATGGCCCTCTATGGACCCTTCCACCTCTAAATTTGATTTTTGGACTTTGCATCAATGATATGCTCTGTTGGCTACAATTCACATACTTGCCATGTGTTCTTCCCTTCCTTAGGTACCTACTTCCACCTTAATAAGGATACCAGCCATCCTTTGCTGTCCATTTCAGAAGACGGGTTTACAATTGTGCGTGGTAAAGGAGAAAGCTCAACAAGGGAGACCCGTGATAGTGACACCAGGTTTTCTAGGTACTTAATCTGTAGTAATCTCAAATTTTCATAGGGAAGTGTCATGGAGCAGAGACAATGTTGGTCTGGGATGGAATCAGGAAGGGCTTGTGTTTAAATCTCAGCTCTAGGCTGGAACCTGAGCCAATAGCTTTACTTTTCCTAGTCTTCAGTTTTCCTATCTGTAAAATGAGCATCCCTGCCTCACAGGGTTAATAAGGGGAAAGTGCTTTGCAAATCTTGAAATGCTATAGAAATATAAGCTATTACAAGATAAGACTTGCCAGGCTTATTCCACTTATCTTATTCCACTGTGTCTCTCTTCCAGATCTTAAGCCAATAGTTTCCCCATAAACAATAAAAATAACATTAAATTGCTTAATTCCTGAGCCATTCTTAGGGAACATAAAGTCCTGAAACGTTATCCCAGTGGGTAACATCCTACACTGGGACAGCATTAATTGTGAGGAGTGGAGATAAAATCTGCCTCTGGAATTTCCACCCATTCATTTCTCCTAATTCTACCCTCTGGGGTCAAGGAGAATAAATGTAATCCCTCTTATAAACTTTCAGTGATTAAGCTTGGCGCTAAAGAAGATAAGAAAGAAGGTCCTTCTTCATTTTCCTTTAGGAAGATTCACTTTTGATTGTTTTGCGGTGGTAATTCCTTCCATTTTCATTGTTTGTGGTGACCGTATATACTGTTCTCCTGGTTCTGCTTGCTTCATTTTGCGTCAGTGCACAGAAATTTTCCACAGGGCAGGAACTGCTTCACTTTTGACTTCTCATGAGTAGCATGCCTGGGACAGTGGGCAATGAATAAATGCCTGTTGATTGAGTAATGGGTTCATCACAACAGCATCATGTGCTCCCTTTTGTGGGTACAGATGGCTACAGAGGGCCAGAGACAACCACAGCCCAGCACACTCGTAGTGGATAAAGCATAAAGCTGGGAGTTACAAGACTATACCATAGACTATAAACAAATCACTTAAATTCTCAATTGTCATCAGTCTCTCCCGGTGGGAAACTCCAAAGTGGCCATCACTCTTTCCATCTATATAGATACTAAGGAGATATCCTCAGGCTTATGGAGGTGTTGAGAGGCCTAATTAGATAATGCTTGTAAAGTGACTGGGGCACCTGGGGAAAAGGTTTTTCATAAAACAATGAGGTGCTCCTTCATGATGGGTGAATCAGGGGACAGTGAACTTTTTCTGGACCTTTATGGGCCCAAACAACTTAGGCCTGATGAAATGCCCCAGAAAACATTTTGAGAAGAAAAAAGACGGTACCCAAATGTGACTCATTCCATTAAAATTATCGGGGAAGGGACTAATGGGAGCTCAGTCTTCCTAACGGTCCTTTAGCGGTTCCTGACCTGTCTCTGCAGGTGCAAAGTGAGGAGGATCTGTTCTGAAGCTGAGCTCTAGATGAACTCTTCTTTCAAGCCAGGTGGGCTGTCAGGCTGAAAATACATACAGAGCCCAAATAACTGCTTCACTACATCAAAGTCAACCATTGCACGTTATTTTTTTTTTTCTAATGTAACTTTAATCAACCATACATTTAGGCCTCAAGTCATTCGGCTCTAAGCCCCAGATCAAAATGGCACTAATAGTTAAGCAACTACAATAATAATAGTTCATATTTATATAGTGTTTTGAAGTGTACATTATTTCATTTGGCCCTCACCATAAATAACCCTCTGAGACTGGTGCTATTATCTCCATTTTATCATCAACCAACCACATCTACTTAAGCACTTGTTCTGTGCCGTGCACTGTGTCAAGCACTGGGGATATGATGACAAAGCATGAACCAGCCCCAGATCTCAGGGAACCTACATTCTATCAGGGGAGACAGCATGAATATTTAGAATAAATACAAAATAAAATCAAGGTAGTTAAAGTTAAAGTAATTCAGGAGAGAAGACACTAGCAGTTGGAGATGGAGGAAGGGGTCAGGAAAGGCTCTATGTAGAAGTTGGTGCTTGACCTGAGTCTTAAAAGGAGTGAAGGATTTTGGGGAATCTCAATCTTACACATGAGGAAACTGAGGCTCAGAAAGGTTTTGTGACTTACCTAATAAAGTGTCTAAGAAGGGATTCAAAACCAGGACTTCCTGACTTTGAATCTAGTAGTCTATCTCCTATATTGCAGGAAAGGCTTTGTGCTGTTGTTGTTGTTGAGCTGTGTCTTACTCTTTGTGACCTCATGGACTATAGCAGTCCACGGGATTTTCTTGGCAAAGATACTACAGTGGTTTCCTTCTCCAGCAGATCCAGTGGATCCTTTTGTCAGGCAATCAGAGGTTAAGTGGCTTGTCCAGGACCGTACAGCTAGGAAATGGCTGAGGCTGGATTTGAACTCAAATCTTCCTGACTCCGGGCCCAGTGCTCTATCCTCTGAGCTACCAGCTGACTCAGGAAAGCCTTGGTCATATGCTTATATTTCACACGTGAGTTTTCTTAAATTTACAAAGATGTACTATCAAGTACATTGAAAGTTCTTCACAACCTGGCCCCTAACATATTACTCCCATCTTAGCACTCTATAATGCAGACATATTGGCCTGCTCATTGTCCTTCACACAAGACTCCATCTTCTGTCTCCAATATCTTTCATGCTTGGAATGGTGTCTCTCCTAATCTCTGCCTTTTAGAATTCCTGACCTCCTTAAGATTCAGCTCAAGTACCACCTCTTCCAGGAGGTTTTTCCTGGTCCCTCCAGTCGTTAGTGCCTTCTCCTCTGAAGCTACCTTACATCTACTCTGGATGTATCTTGTATGTACATGCATACACTGTCTGCCCCATTACAGTAAGCTCCTTGAGGGTACAGACTGGCTTTTGACTGGCACACAGTAATGAATGCTTATTGATTGATGTTGATAACTCAATTCAGAAAGCACTTACTTAAAGCTTACTGTGAACAAAGCATTAAAGTACCCATTGGAAATACCAGCACATAAAGAAAAACAGCCCCTGTCCTCAAAGAGTTTATATTCTATTAGAGGGTAGGGATAGAGACTAGTTCTGTGATTTCATTGGTATAGGGAACTCCCAAGTTCTCATTGTAAATATCCAGCTGCTTATGGGACATCTTGAAGTGGATGTTCCATATGTATTTCAAACTCAATATGTGTAAAACAGAAGTTAACTTTCCTGTACCCTCTTCTCCCCCCCCCCCAAAAAAATCCTCATTCCAAACTTCCTTATCACTGTTGAGGGCAGCACCATCTTCCTAGTCACCCAGGTTAAGGCTGACAAGTGACTTGTTTATAGTGAGCATTTAATAAGTGCATTCTGAATTGAATTATCAGGTGAGGAAACTCCCTCTGCCATGCAAGTTGACACCTTCTCTGCAAGTTCTTAACTAACCTAGCTTACTGAGAAGTAAAGAGATTTGCCCAGGGTCACACATCCAGTATGTGTCAGAAGCAGGGCTTTAGCCTAGCCTTGGTTCTCCGGACTCTCAGACCAGTTCTCCATCCCACTATGTACACCATTTAAGCCTATAAATAAATTTGAGATAATTTGAGTAGGAATAGGGCAGTAATCGTAGGAAAGGATCAGGAAAGACTTCCTGTAGGAGGTAGCACCTGAGTTAAGCCTTGACCAAAGCCAAGAATGCTGAGAAATGGAGGTGTGGAGTATATTCCAGACGTCGGGGATAGACAGCTTGGACAAAGATGTAGAGGCTGGAAAAAGAATGTAAAATTCAGGATAAAGCATTTAGGCCAGAGTATATGAAAGGGAGTAATCAGTATGGAAATGTGGGCTGAATGAAACCAGTCTGTGAAGGGCTTTTAATGCTAAACTGAGGAATTTAAATTAAGCTTCACGATCCCCCAAATGCTGGTCTTTTAATTATCCTCTAATTCCCCTTCCATGGAAGGGACTGTGGACAGGAATGAGAAAATTCTTTTAGAGAGAAGTCTCAATCAGAAAATGCTGCCTCTGAGTTCTCTGCAAATCTCTGGGATTCTTTCATTCTTATCTTCAAGCCCATAGATACTGCCCTTTCCACTTCTGGGCCCTGGAGAATCTCAAGTCTGTTCTTAATTTTCAGTGTTGAGGTTGGGCTGCCATATGTCACTTTGGGAGCCAAGATGGAGGTGGAGAGAATGATGGAAGAAATCTCAGATCTGGTGCCATTGCTCCAGAGTCAGCAACCAACCAGTTAGCATCTTAATGGACCACTTATTTTGTGGAAGGCACTGTGTTAGGTGCTATTCCAGATGCAAAGAAGCATTAGGTATGAATCCTGCCTTCAAGCAGCTGAGATGGGAGGATCATCTAGACACAAATGAAAAATTAACAATACGGTAACGAAGTACCACATGACAAATGATGAAACTACAGGAGAGCAGGGAGGGAAGGATTACTGCAGGGTAAAGTGGCAAGGGTTCATGGAGATGTTACTTTAATAAAACAATAACTTGTGTTATTGGCTAAGTGCTAAGTGCTTTACAAATATTATCTCATTTCTTCTTCCAACAACTCTGGGGCATGGGTGCTATTATTATCCTCATTTTAGAGTTGTGGAAAAAAGGGAAAGTAAATAAGTGACTTGCCCAAGGTCATAAAGCTAGTACTAAGTGGCTGAGACAGAATTTGAACTCATATCTTCCTGACTCCAGGCCCAGTATCACTGCACCACCCAGCTGCCTCTAGATACTTCTGGAACTGGGCCTTGAAGGATGATTAGGATTTGGATACATAAAGAATACTTGAGGTGGGGGGTGGGAGGGGCAGGGAAGTGAGCAAAGGTAGTGAGAAAAATATGCAGCATCTTTTTGAGACAGACACTGGCTAAAGATGAAGGTTTCATATTGGGAAGTAGTAGGAGATCAAATTGGAAGGGTAAACAGGGACCAGATTAGAGAAGATCTTCAGTACCAGGATATCAAGTTTAGGTTTTTATTCTGTAGGCAGAGGGGAAACAATGAACGTTTCTGAGCAGATGACTGATATGAGTGGTATTTTGTTTTAAAGTTTTATTGGTATTCAAAGCAATTTCCAGATATACTCCTCCACCTACCCCCTGAGTGGGATTTTATAAAGATTAAACTGACAGCAATGTGCGGGATGGATTGGGAGGGGGATAGATGAGTCATGGAGACTAGTGAATAATATAGTGGGATATTACTGTGCCTCAAGAAATGATAAAGGGGACAGTTTGGAGACACTTAGGAAGATATGTATGAAATCACATACAGTAAAGTGAGAAGAACCATGAGAACAAGTTATATGATAATAACACTGGAAAGATAAGCGACTTGGAGAGATCTGAGAACCCTGACCAGTGCCCAGCCATGATTCCAGAGCACTGATAAGGAAGCATGCTACCCACTGCCTGGCCGAGAGGTGATAGGTTCAAAATGTAGAAGACATACGTTTTTGTATACAGCCAGTGGAGGAATTTTTTTCTGTTCACTTGACCCTGCATATTTGTTAGAAGGGTTTTGTTTTTCTTTTTTAAATTTGAGGAGAAAGGGATATAAGAGGGAGATCAATCAATCAATCACTTGTGCCTCGAACATGCCAGGCACTGTGGTAAGCAATGGGAGTACGAAATGAGGCAAAAAGACAGTTCCTGTCCTCAAAGAATTTACAGTCTAATGGGGGAAATCTAATAGGGAAGAGATAATAAGTACTTACTAGTTGAAAAAAAGTTAAAATAAGGAGACTATCGTAATAATCTAGATAGGAAGTGGTAAGAAATCTTACTATGGAAGAGTCAAAAGCATGTCATAACTGATTGAATGTGTGTAGAAGGGAGCAGGAGGTGACATGAGACAGTGGAGGGAGAGGAATGGCTGGGTGAATGGGAGAATGAATGGCATCCTAGACAAATGTGGAGAGGTCAGTAAGAGGAGCTTTTTGAGGAAGAGAGTGGGAAGGATGAAGGCTTTCCCAGGCCCTTGGAAACCCTGTTCAACTGCCCTGCTAACTAGAAGTGTTGACACCTCTGGAGATGTCTGCAGGACTGTGAAAGCAGTGAACTCACCGAGGTAAAGAGGTGTATGTTTTTGAAGGCAGTGGAGCTCACTGCCTTACAAAGTTTAGCCTGGGCAATCAGAAAGTGAGAATTTCAAGAGTGGGTGGAGAGGCTCAATGACTCCAGTTGAATTAGGAACTTTGACAGCTTCTAAATTAGATCTTGGATAGTGTAGGAGGCTTCTGGAGAGTCAGTGCAGCAGAAATACTGGCAATGATGTGCTTTGATAGATGTTTAATTTTCAACGAAGACACTCTTCTGCCAACTCCCCTATCTTTATAGGACAAGACACAAGTCTAATGCTTTGTATATATGTAAAGAATCTAAGGTCATTTCTGAAGGTTTGCATTGGCATTGTACTGCCTCGGATCACCTATGCTACCAAACATCACCAGTGACTTTTGAGTCTTTTCTTATTCTAAATGCTCTTTCCTGACACTCCTACCTATTTCAGTCTTGCTATCCTGTGGCTTTTCCCTGTGATTGCTTTGAAAAATTGCCACCTTGATAATGAGGTCTGCCTGCACAGCTGTGACCGAGGTACTCTGTGTTCCGTTCCCTCCCCTCCACGCTGCGGGGCTTTCCACTGAGGCACCAGTTCTTATTAGTCTGTGCCACTGATTCTATGTGGAGTGAATTACCCCCCATTATAGCCATTTCTATCATAGCAATTAGCTTAACAGTCCTCCACACTGGCTTTGCATTTTATGCTCTGGAAAATTATATTTCGTCTGCAAGCTTCAACGTATGTGGTTGCCTTTCTCCTTTTTCATTTTGTGAGCTGTCAACATTCCCTTTCCCACTTGTGACCTACAATTTTAACTTTAGCCAAGTTCTTGTCTTCATAACTCTAAATACCACAGTGATTTTTTTTTTCTAATAAACAATCACCTCCTTCTTTGGTGTATTTCTTGTCCCTTTCTTCTCCTTAATTACCATCACAGTAATCTTACTTTTCTCATCTTCAGAAGAACTGAAGAAGTTATTGAATTGTTTTGAGAGAATCACACTCAGAAAGATGAACTAAATGGTAATAGGGCCTGTGAGAGCGTACCAGTCAAGTGGCATGGATACCCACAAATCTGCCTGCAGTGACTCACGCTGTAGACTAACACCACTACTTGTTTTACCAGTGGTAACACAGTACTATAATGAAGCAGTGGGTCATAGGAGATAGTTCGTTGGAGTCAGGGAGATGCAGGTTTGAATTCTGTTGCCTACCTAATAACTGCATGACCCTGATTAATGTGAGCCTATTTCCCCGTATCTAAAATGGGGATAATAGCAGCACTTACCTCACTAGGAAGGCTTGAAGTGTATAAAGTGCTGTACAAACATTAGATATTTTTCTACTTGGCTGAACATAAAACTCTTCTACCCCCAAATCCCTCAGGGGATAAAGTTCCAAATCCTTTGCATGGCCTTTGAGGGCTTCTGTTAATCTGGCCTCAGCCTACTTCTCCAGCCTTCTCTTTCACCCCTCCTCATAAGCCTGCATCATAGCCCAGAAGGACTGCTTGCTATCCCATCTTTGCTCAGATGATTCTCACTCCTCCTCCTACCACCCCTGCCTCTCAAAGTCATATCTGCTCTTCAAAAGCTTAGATGATACTTCTCCACAAGACCTTTCCTGAATCCCCCACTATGCTTCATGCAAAGTGTGTAATCTCTTATGACACTTGGAAAGTGTGCTTTGTACACTCTGCTGATATGTGGACCTGTCTCTTCTACTAGATTTTAAGTTCCATGAAAGCACGATCCATGTCTCATTCATCTTTGTAGACTTCACAGCACCTAAAACAGTGTCTTGCTTGGCTGGTATGTGACAAAAATTGAGAGGCAGTATAGGTAGAATATGGTATTAGGAAGGACTAGGTTCAAAGCTTGCTTTGGACACTAATGGTGTGACCACAAGTCATTTAATAGCTCAGAGCCTCAGTTTTCCCATCTGTAAAATGGGGAGATTAGCAGTACCTACCTCTAAAGGTTAACGTAAGGATCAAAAGTGTTTTGCAGATCCTATGGGATGAATGTAAATGCAAGTTATTACTACTATAAACATTTGTTGAATCATGAATTAATGAAAACTAATACCTCTATATTACAAAAATTAGATGTGTTGCTGTTATGGGAAGCCTGATACCTATTAAAGGATGGCATTACTGGGAGGTGGAGGTGGTTGAACAGATGGACTACAAAGTTGGTGTAGCATCTGAAGATATCAACAGACAAGGGGACCTTGGGGCAGACAGCTCTTCCTGGTGCATGAGTCACACTTTTATATCATCAAGGTAAAGTAAAACCTCCACTTCCCAAGGATTAACATTGCCCTCTAAAGGACTTCTAATTAGCAACAGTGAATGTCAAAAAAACAGCTTAGACATAAGACCATGGTTCCACGATGTTTCATGACCTTCATGCTCTCTCTCTTGCTGTGTATCCTGAGGCCCAAACAAGGAAAAAAAAAAAAAGATTCTTGGAAATTGCTTACCCGTTCAGAAAGGATCTGATTTACCATCTAAGCTCCACTTTGTGTTAAGAACATGCATAATTTAATTCCCTCCCTCTTAGTAACATAGGGGGGAAGTTTATACTATGGTTCTCTTTGATTTGTGGTTAGGGAGAGACATTTCTTTCCTTAGACATTCCAGTTCAGCGTCACAGAACTTCAACAAAACAGCCTGGGCAAATTCCCATGGTGCAGAATTTCCAACAGGGAAAAGCATTCTTGCACCCTTCCTCCACTTCTAAAATTGTAAGGAAAAAAAAAAAAGGACAGCTTCATTTGACCATCAGGAAAATGTCTAATTGCCTTTCTAAGTAGTCTGACCTTGCCTGGGACCTCACTGGCTTTATGAGGCTCCTGTTCCTATCTGCATCGTTCCCACAAATTGTTACTTTTCATTACTCTCCAAGGGATTAGTGTTAAAACTTTAATTGCATCTTTTGTCCAAGCAGATAGGATAAGCTTTAAATTTGCCCCATAAAACATATTCAAGTATAGAGCTGAATTTTTTACTGCATCAGAAATCCAATTTGAGTGTTCTAAGGATTACTGTGCCCAGAGCCAGATTACAAAAAGTATCTCCAGAAAAGAGATTGAAAACAACAGAATGGTAGGCAGGAACACTTGACTCTTTAGAATAGATAACAACAGCACTTAAATCTGAATGGTAAAGCCTCATTAAATCAGATTTCTAGACTTCTGCTTTTGTATCTGGGCCAAAGGTGACCTTGGCTCAAATCCAGGAAGGAGGGGTCTGCTGAGTGTTGAACCTGATCAACAGACCCCTCAGCAATTGCTCTAGACTAAACAACTTTCCAGCTTCTACTTTCTAGCTTTTAAATTAGCATCACTGATCCTTGCTATCTGGTTAACTCAGCTGGTCAGGGCAATATTTTAGAAATCTTTTTCCACACAACACGCCTCTCAAGTTTTGAATTTTCCATCACACACCAAGGGAGGTAGAGGATCCTCTTAAAAGTCCATTGTAAGGATGTGTATGTTGGCAGATGAGGGGGGAGGGACAATGGCACAAAAAATGACATTTTTTTAAAGTCCCTATTTTTTATAGAAGAGGAAACAGACCAAGGGACGTTATGCAATAACCTCTCATCATAACTGAATTTCTAAGTAATTAAAGTTGAAACATGGGATACAAAAGGCTAAATTTAATGCCTATATTGAACCTGTTCTCCTGACAGTGGATCAGGAGTATGGTTGTTAGGTGAAAAAATTAGAATAAAAAAATAGGGAGGACAAACAGAAAGGCAGGGGCAGGGTTGAAATGCAGAAATGAGAAATGGGAGGCAGCATAGTACAGGGGAAAGAGGACTGACTCTGGAGTCCAAAGACCTGGGTTAGAATCCTGACTTCGCAGTTCAGTGACTTAACTCTAAATGCAGCCCTCTTCCCACTCCATCACGATGCCTCTCACTGGAGAGATTTCTTAGCGTCCCACAACATCTTGCCTTTCCCAGGAGAGCTGCTACATTGCCAGGTGTAAGGAAGGTAGCAGTGTCTGGGCCAGGAGTTTAATTCTAGGTACTGCTGCTACTTTCACTAATGAGTTATCATCATTCCCACGACCTAGTCATTTAGCTCCTTGGAACTGCTCTGTTTAGAAAATGAAAAGCTTAACACAAGGAAGCAGGCTAGTCTGCTGTGACACCAGCAAGATGTCTGAAAGGTGAACCAAGTAATTTCAATTCAATCACTGGGAACCAGTGGGTTAGAGCACACAGGTCAAGTTATTCACTCATCTGGATATTGAGCCAAACAAAGATCAAGACTTTTCTGTAAAATAAAGGGTGCTAGAGATGGGGGCAAATCACCTCTCTAGAAATAAAATTTCCTATTTCTTTGGACAGATTAACTCCCCTTTAAACCAAGATACCTAATTATATTGTTAAGCACCACTGTTTGTCCTTAAACTATCATGATCTTAATTTTTAATTTCCTTTATTACAAAGCATACTTTCCCACCCAAATACTGTAATTCAAGTTCCTTATATTTATGTTTTATCACCTTCCTACAGTAATTTTAATGTAAAATGAGTTTCAAGAAAACACTATATTGAGTTTCTTAGGTAGAGTGATTTGCCCAGCACAGACAAATTTGAAATTAGTCTCTTGAGTCAAGTGCTAAGAGAAGACACAGCTTGGAAAATACATGGTTTTGGAAACAACAAATTACTTTGGTATTCATTTAACGAAGGAAATGTCATAAAAATGTTAATAAAATCAGGAATATAAAATGTTATGTGCAATAGCAAAGCCACGAGTTTTGTGAAGCTTTATTTGTTTTCAAATTTTCAGGCATAAATATGAATTTCTGCACAACGGGGTTACTCCAGAGATCCAGATTACAGTTCCCCCAAAGAAGATTGGAATCCTACTTGACTATGACAGCCATAGGTTATCTTTTTTTAACGTGGATATTGCACAGCATCTTTATACATTTAGCTCTCCGCTTCAACATTTTGTGCAACCCTGTTTTTCTTTAGAAAAGCCTGGATTGTTAAGAGTTTGTAATGGAATTTCAATGCCAAAGTTTGCCACAGTCTTCTAGACTAGATTGGTGTCTAATGGCAGGTTCTATTCTAGGGAAAAAAAATGTGAAGTTGGTAAAAAATGGTCCTTGATGCTCCCTCCCCCCCAATTTCTTTTGTTTCCTTTTTTCCCCCCCTTTGCTTCCTAGCCTCCACCCTCAAGACTCTAAGTGCAGCTGTACTCATGCTGGTCAGGTCTCTCCAGCTAGATGGAATAAAAGGATCTGATGTAGCCATTTTTGTTAAAGTATTAAAAAACTTAATGTATTACTCATACAGTCAAAGTTAGAGCTGAAAAGGATCTTAGGGAAACTGACGCTTATAGACAGATGTAATAATATCTAAAGCAACACTGATAGTAAGTAGCTGTCCAGGCCAGGACTTATTCTAGGACACCATACTATATGGCATCATACTCCTAAGAGTACCTGGATTTTAAGAGAAGCTGAAATGAATCTCTAATGAATTTCAGGTCCAGGGGAGTGAGATATTTTAGGGACTCCTTGGGAACCCTCAATCACACCAGTTAGCTGGCTCAACCTATTAAGATTACAATGGAACATGTCACAATTTGATTCTTCCTTCCCCAAATCCTCCCCCCCTTTAGCAATTTTCCAAATATAATCAAATTTGGATAGCCTGTTCTGCATAAGAAAGTATGATGGGGGATAAGATGCTGTGTAAGACAGTTCTAGCAGCTCTTTTTGTGGTGGCTAAGAGTTGGGGATTGAGGGATGCTCATCAAATGAGGAATGGCTAAACAAGCTATGGTATATGATTGTGATGGAATATTATTGTGCTATAGTAACTGACAAGCAGGAAGATTTCAGAAAAACCTGGACTTACATGAACTGATGCATAGTAAACAGAACCAGGAGAATGTTGTTCACAGTAACAGCAATATTGTTCAATGAACTGTGAATGACTTAGCTATTCTCAGCAATACAATGATCTAGGACAATCCCAAAGGACTGATGATGAAGCATACTATCTGCCGTCAGAGAAAAAAACTGATATTGTTTGAATAGACTGAAGCATGCTATTTTTCATTTTCTTTCATTCTTTTTCTTTTGAGTCTTCTTGTACAAAATGACTAATATGTAAATGTTTTACATGACTGCACATGGGTAACCAAATCTGATTGCTTACTGTCTCAGGGAGGGGGGAAGGATAGAATTTGGAACTCAAAATTTAAAAAAAAAATTAAAAAACTGTTTTAACATGTAATTAGGGAAAAGATAAAATATATATTAAAAAAAAGAGAAACATACTCTATACTTAAAATTAGAAGGCAGAAAATTATACAAAGTACCAAGGCCTGCCATGCCATTTCTGGGCCACTTCCAAACCATGCTACCACTCATACATCCTTCTTCCTCCTTCCTAGCTCCCCTTTATGCTGCCTTCCCTTATTAGAATGTAAGCATCTTGAGGACAGTCTGTCTTGCTGACTTGTATCTGAATCCTTAGCGTCGAACATGGTGCCTAACACATTATGCTTAATAAATACTTTCTCATTCTATTTGGAGAGAGACCACTATGTGCAAAGTTGGGAAGGCTTCACAGGGGAAGCGGGATTTGATTTTGACACAGAAGTATCAAGTTACATGATTATCCCATAAACAAACATTCAAGTTATGTCCCTATCTTCTGAAAAAACAGAAGGGAAATGAATACTTATGGGTGGGAGACAGCGGATCAAGAGACAAATGAGCAAACAGGGAAAACTTCTTAGGGATCTGGGTACTTAGGAAGTCTGAAGAGCTTAACTGGGGGTGCATTGCCTGAACTATGAATAAAAACTTCAGGACCAGACAAAAGTTGCTATATTGTACATCATAAAGGAATTTATAAAGGTGGGCTTACATATACATACATATGTGTACATAGATATTGTGAATAGATAGAGTGAATCGTCTGACTCTTCCCCCAGCCAAACTATACTTTTCACATATGCGATACCCTTGTATTTGACTGCTCTTTCCCTTGGCTCCGGGTGCAACAATTCTGCTTGAGCACTTTATCACAGGGAACTACTGCCAGAGCTGCTAATCTACTTTACCTTCAATCTTCCCTTTCTATTATGAGTCTGACATTAATAAGACAGTTTGTCATATTGCTTCCCTGCTCAAAAGGCTTCAGGGGCTCTGTGTCTTTAGTTGCCTAGAGAATTGTCTAATTTCATACTTCAATTCAGCTTTCATATTCTTGGTATTGTACTACCATTATAAACATATATTATTATACATTCCCACTTCCAGGCCTTAGTTCACTTAACGCTGTTTGCCTCAGTTTCCTCAGCTGTAAAATGAGCTAGGGGAGAAAATAGCAAACCACTCCACTATATCCGCCAAGAAAGCCCCAAATGGGGCCAGAATCAGACCCAACTGAACAATAACAGCAACAAAGAAACAACGTATTGCCCAAAGGGAACACTGGTAGTCACATCTGACAGGGGCATTTTGCAGCCGGTGTCCTCTCATGTGAGGGTTGAGTTAGCTCTTCTAAAGTTAGTAATGGGGAGCCAGCAGTTAAACAAATGGGAATTTCTGGTACAAGGAAGAATATGGGCAATTGAAAAGCAACAGATACTTAATAACAAAGTATATAAATTGGTTAAACAATTATTCATTTATGAAAGGCTGAATGTTGTCTGCCTCTGTATAAGGGGGAGAGACTGCTTTGGAAATCACAAATCTACTATTCTCATCACTACTCTGGTGCACAACTGTCAGTAAACTCTACCCTAATCAGTTTCATTTCTACTTATCACATTTCAGTTTCCAATGGTAAATTTGAAAACTTGGCAGTCAACCTTTAAGCTCTGCATGTATTAGTTACAAAACTGTTACATGAATTAAATTATAAAACTGTCCTGCATTAATGAAACTAGAATGTTCATAGAGTAGTCAAATTAATGCATCTCAACTTGTCTATGCTCTAATCTCATAACCAAATCTTTATCACACTCAAAAAATATGCCTCACTTAAAACTTCTCATCATTTGTAGCACCCATTAAATATGACAAAAAGAATAAAATAGTTTTATGTTTTGAAAACCCCATCTACTGGAGAAGCATAGTTTCTAATCTCATGTTATTCATGAATTAACAACTTGTCTAATCAATGTGGTAGATTTATTTCCAGAACAAAAAATGTTAAGAAAATACAGTGAAGCATAGTATTCGTTGACACTGCTCAAAATTCTATGACTTAATAAAATAGAAAAACCCAGGTGCTAAGATATTTAATAAAATTTTATTTGTCTTAAAGTAATGACACTCAAAAGAAAAAAAAATCAGGATTATTCAAGTCACCTTGCTTTTCTTCATCAGTAAGGCACATTACCATTTCTATATATCCTTTCTACCAAACATTAAGAAATAAGCCTAGTCTAAAAACAAACCCATTTTTTGCAAACATTAAACAGTCATTCTAACACTTGCGCTCTTTCAATACAGCAGTCTTGTCCATATAGCTGGTTTCCATCAAGAGGACACACCCAGTCACCTTTACATGAGCCTGTTGGGGGAAAAGAAAAAAGCCAAGCAATCATACAGAGAAGCTGCTGTACGAATAACAAAGACTTCTTACACAGACATAGCCACTGAAAAGTTTGCTGTGAAAGTACAGGAAACATCTAAAGCTTTCAGTTCCATTATTGGTTTTATTTCTAACTTATTATTTAGCTCTTGGTAATTTATCCAAGGGGTGTAAGCTTTGTATTTCAGGACAGGGAATGAGCTAGTGTAGGCCTAACGTCATTCATTGATTATATTATGAAATTGTAGGAAAGGATTTTTTTTTTAAAGATTGGGTGGAATTGGAAAGTCATATCATATAAAACCCAAGATGACAATTCTGGTAGAATTAGAGTAATTCATTAGAATTGCTACACAGATGACTATTTTCCTGCTGACATACAACCCCTTAAACATAGCCAATAAAAAGTTTTTGAAGACATAGGTTTTTATGACATTGAGTAAAAGCTTAATAAGTACATGGCTAGCAAAGCATTTATTATTTTTAACACTATATCATGCTTAATCAAAGAAATACTAAATTTAAGGGTCCTTTAAAAGGCAATTTGGCTTATCTCCTCCTCCTCCACATCTATACCCTTGAAAAAGGATGCCAGAAAGTTAAGTGAGGATGACCTGGACCAAACAAAGCAGAACCACTGCTCTCCTCCTCCTGCCAAAACTTTCTTCTCACTATGCTGAAAAGGTCTAGGTGGTGAAGTAGATAAAGCACTGGACTTCAAGAGTCAGGGAGATGACTGGAAGACTGTTACCATAATCAGGGTGAGAGGCACCAAGAGCCTGAAACAGGGAAGTGAACATGGGTTAAGAGAGAAGGGGCTGGCTGTATGAGATGTTGTGGAGGTGGAAAGACAAGATTTGGCAACTGTCATTGGCATGTGTGCAATGACAGAATGAAAAGTCAAGGGTAAAGTTTTGGAGGTTTTGAAACTGGGTGACAAAGGGTGGTGGCCTGGGGGAAAAAAAGGGGGGGGGGAGAAGGAACATTATTAAATGTCTAATCTGTGCCAGACAATGTGCTAAGTACTTTACAAATATTATCTAATTTGATGAAAGGGAGGGATTTGGACAGAAGAAAAGGAAATTTGAGATGCCTATGGCACATCCAGTTAAGAGATATTCAATAGTGTATGTAGGGCCCAAAGACTAAGGATGGTGATTAGAGAGATCTGGAAATCACTTGCACAGGGATAATTAGACCCTTGGGAGTGGATGAGGTCATCAAGTGAAAGCATCTGATTCCAGGTTCTATCCCTTTCTCACTACTGCAAAATAGATTAGATGAGGGTCCAGTATGGAGCAGTTATACAGATAAGCCAGCGGGGTACAGGAGGTAACAGACAAGTAAAACCAAGAGAGTAGTATCATAAAAACTCAAAGATGGTGTATTCAAGAGCTAAGCAAGTCAAGTGTCAAATGCAGGAGGAATTCAAGAGGAGGATTGAGAAAAAGTCCACAGATTTGGCAATTAAGAAAAC